TCAAAATCGAAAGCTAACAAATGATAAACTTATTAGATAAGCCTTCTTTAAAGATCTTTCGCTAATATATAAACAATGTCTTATAATATCTTATAGTCTATTAAAATAAAAAATTTCTTTAAGATACTATCTAAATAATAATATTAATACTTATAGCTTTTAATGATAGTAAAAAGCTCTTATTATCTAACTTTCTATCTTATTTTAACATTAGTTAGTTTCTATAATTAGTATATAACTAGCCTTTACTAATCTTTTATATTTTAAGATAATATTCTTAAGATTACTTTATCTAATATATTGATCTTAATATATATCTCCTTTATAAAGTCTTAATATCTAAGAATGATAGTATTTTAGAATGTTTACTTAAGCTTAGCAAACGTTTGTTAAGCTAAAGATAGCTATTTAAACTTTTTTCGCTTAACTTTTTATTAGCTTCTTCTTAGTATTAAGGTTAATAGTATAATGATTTTAAAATATTAAGTGATAAACCTTTTATAAAAGTTTATAAAGCTTAAAAAAACTTAAATATCTTAATATAATTCTAGCTTTAGTTATTTTATAATAACTCTTACTTTTTCTAAATCTATTTATATTCTTTTTTAATTGATAGTAAATCTTAAAAACTTAATATAATTTTGAAAGAATTAATATTTAAATTATTTAATATATAAGCTTATACTTTATAAACATTTAAAGATTAATTAAAGATATTCTATATATTCTTCTTCTAATTAAAAGAAGATTATAATATTATTAAAGTATATTATATAAATTATATTTAATAATTTAGCTAACGCTTTATATATATAAGCTTAAAATATCTTTAGTATATTTGTCAAACTAAAAGATATAATTATATACTTAAAATAATTATATTATATTTAGAAAATAGTCTTCTATCAATTAGATTCTTTGATTATAATCTAATAATATACTTTATAAAAATTAACCTTTAAAAAATATTTTACTTTTTAGAATCAGTTTATTAACTTTCTAATTAATGATAAAAAGTAACAATTCTTAATTATAATTTGATTTAGTTTACAATAGTTAATATATAGTTAAAGATTATTATTTTTTTTAAATATAAATAGTATAAATATACTAGTAAAATTAATATTATAATAGATTCGTCTATTTATAAGATTTTTATCAAAATATTTTGTCAGCTTATTAAACTATAGATAAAAGAAAGGATAGATTAGCTTATATAAAAGCATCTTATCTTACTTAATGTTAATTATATACTTAACGCTATTAAATACTAGCAGTATTTTTATAACTTTTAAGTTAAAGCAATCAGTAAATGACTAAAAATATAATAATAGATTATTATTACTAACACTATTTTTATCATTGTTTAAGTTATCTATTTCTTTATCAAAGGTACTTTCTACCTTCTTTCTAGCATCGCTAACCTTAGCTAAGATTTTTTTCGTTAGATTGTCATCACCAAATCTAACGTAGGTTAGGATAGTAATATATATAAGTTAACCTTTAACGATTTATTATAATTAGGTTTTTATATATTTTACTTAATAAGATTTAAATTTCTAAGTATTTTTTCTAGTATCGATAATAATACCTTCTTTTGCTATCTTTAGGTAAGATAGTAAGAGATTGAGAGTATCTTTAGCTCTTTTGATAAAAAAGAATAATTATTTAAAGATATATAATATCCCTTCATTATCAATCATTTAGATAATAATTATATAAGCTTTATAGTATTTAATAAAAGCGTTATAAACACTAATTAAGGTAAGGAAGATAGTATTTACCTTCTTTAGTATATATCTTTTAGCAAACTACTTACTAATAATATTTACTTAAGCGTTTATATTTAAGTTAATTTATATTATAATCTTTCTAAAATTAAATAAAACTTTCTTAATAGCCTAATATAAAGGTTGGAAGCTAACTATACTTTATTTACACTTTAAAATTAAAAGGAAAGTATCCTTTTACTTTAATTTTAGTTTTTTAAGTTATTACTATTAGATAGCTTTTATATCTAGTTTTGTAAGTTAGACTTTAGTATATTAATTAACTAGATGATAGTCTTATAAAATAAGCTTTATATAGTTTAATACTTTTTATAAGTAAGGTCTATTATCATATATTTTTTTTTATATTATATATAATATTCTACCTTAAGTTTATAATAATTGCTACTAGTGTCTACCCTCTCTAACTGGTTGTTAAATAAGGTATAATTAAAGTATAAGTTGTTTGACTTACCTTCTTTATAGCCTTAGTAGCGTCTACTATATTAATAATAACTATTATAGTCTTTTTACCTTTAGGTCAATCTATTTATATTAAAACTATTATTATAGTTGATACCTTTTTTATAGCTTTTACTTTATAATTATATGTTAAATATATTTGAATAAAATCGTTTATTTTATCTTTATTAAGATATAAGTTATTATTATGTTTATATATATATGATGATAATATAAGAATCGTTTAGTTTTTAGCGTTATTATAGAAAGGTTTCTTTAAGATTCTTTCTAAGATAATGTTAAAATTTTTATATAATATTATTATTATTCTTTAGCTTATTATCGACAACTTTTTATAAATTATCTTATTTTATCTAAAATTTAAAAGAACTTTTATCTACTTTCTATCAATATTTAAAAAGATATTTTCTTAATTAATATAATTATTGTTAGAAGATTATATACTTTTTATAGATATATAAAAGGAATTTGTCTTATATTAAAACTTTATTTATTTTATCGACGATAAGTTTTATAATATATTATCTTTACTAAGTTTAAATAATAGATTTTACTTTATTTAAAGTTTAATTAATAAGTTGACTAGATAGTACTTTTAGCTTAAACTAATTGTTTATTTCTATAGCTTAAATCTAGTTTTTAACTTTTATTAATAATATATTATTCTTTAGAGGCTGACAATTATATATAAATGTTTTATTATTTTAATATATTAATAGTATTAAAAATATAAATATAGTTTATATTTTATTTTAATATTAAGTAAGTTTTTAAAATAATATATAAATCATTTTAGACTAATTATTATATAATTAATATAAGTTTATCTTTCTTTATAAGCTTGATAATATATATTTATTATCACTTTCTTTAGATAAATTCTTTAGATTATTAGAATCATTATTATCATCTAGATTGTTAAAATTCTTCTTTATATTTTAGTTACCTTCTAAACGTTTGTTGATATTATCTTTAGCAGCTAAGTTATAAGAGATAATTATCTTTTTTAAGACTTATAATATGATCATATTTTAGTTATCTTCTTTACCTTCTTAAGTTTATTTATCTTTCATTATATAGTTGACAATCGAATATATTATAACCTTCTTAAAGACTATCTTATCTTTAGCTTATATTTTCTATAAAAATTAAAGTAATAGAATATAAAGATGGTAAAGCTAAGTTATATATATAAAGTAAAAAATAAAGAGAAAGTTATTGATTTATTACCTTTAAGCTAGATATATATAGGTTCTAAGACTATTATTTGCCGATTAGTCTATAATCAAGCGACGATAAAGTATTTATATATCCTATAGAGGATCCGTATCTTCTGATGAGGCGTAGGCTTATGGCTTGTGGCTATAGCTATACTAAGAAGGCGATATCTTTATAGATAGCATCCTTTACTTTTAGATTGATTAGGTGCTAATTGCCTTATAGGTTTGCTTTCGTTTAAAGCTTTTGATACCAATTGGTTTAAGAGCTTTAGTCAGTAAGCTTCGTTATAGTAAGTAGGTCTTGATAACATTCTATATATTCTTATTTCTAAAGGAAAGCGTTATATACACGGTTTATAGTATAGTATAGTGGAATTATATATATATGCTAACTAAGCTTATAACTATGACAGACTGTAGAGTGTGTACGAGTATGTAATTGGGTAATAGAAAGTTTATTGAACTATATTGATCATACAAAAGAGAATTAGG